AACAGTGGGGAGGAAAGAAGACATAAATGACATAATTGAATTGCTGGATCATAAACTAAGTTGTGCAGCACTGTTTATTGACTTTAGAAAAGTTTTGATACTGCTGATTGTGGTATACTGCAAAAACAAACTGTCTACTTTTTAATAGCAAAAAAGACATTCAAACCGGTTTAGGTGAAAATGGAGTTTGTTCACTCTACAGTTGTTTTTGGTGGCCTGGTTTAATTTTAGTTTTAGTCTAGTCTTTGTGTGAAGCTGTCATTTTAGTTTTTATTTGTTTTAGTCACGTTCATACTCTTTTTAGTCTAGTCAAGTTTCAGTCAACTAAAAGTCTGAGCATTTCAGTCTTATTTTAGTCAGAATTATCCATGACTATTTTCATCTGGTTTTAGTTGATGAAAACTGATGACATTTAGTCTAGCTTTAGTCAATGAAAATTGTATTTTAGTCTCTTTTTAGTAATGCAATTCTATTGAACCCAGTCAATATAGTATAAGTACCTAGTAGTATAGACGAAACCAAAATTTTCTTTGAGCCAAACCCATTTCAAAAAAGGTTATCTTATTATATTACCGTTACCTTATAGACTCAAGAATACATTCAATACACATTTTGTGGCCACATTTCTCCCCATCTTTTTCCACAACACATTCCGTTTTCCTTTTCACTTCTATGTAATGAAAGTTTTTCCAAATGCCTGGAATGAACAACAGAAAGACTTCAAATTAGAGGAGAAAGTGACTTTGGGTAAATTTAAAGCACTTATGGTTGCTTTCAGAAAGTCTTATTGTTTTTAAGTTATTGTCTTAATTAGGTTTATATAAGTGAGTTATGTTATTGTGTTTTATGTTTTGTAACACTGTTGTTGCTGCTGTCTTGGCCAGGTCTCACTTGCAAATGAAATTTGGAATCTCAATGAGATATTGCCTGATTAACTAAAGGAAATTGAAACTGAAGCAGCCATTTAGGAGGATCAAGGATCTCATGAAAAATGCTACTGAGTTGCATTATGTGATTATGTAAAATCCACCCCAGTGCAATAATTTGTAAATATAACAATTGTCCACACCTATCTGAAAACTCTTCTTTCACATTGTAGATGTATATACATTCAATAATAGATTGTTGTTTTTGTTTCTTCTTTTTTGCTCATTTAAATCACATATTTTTCTTGTTGTCTTATGAGAGCCACTGTACCGGAGTCAAATTCACACCTGACCCATAAGTCAGACAAAAGTCTTCTGACAGCACAGGCATGTTTTTATTCTATCAGCAGTTGTCACCATAGGCTGTGTAACACTTTGTGATTCACTCATGCTATATCTAAAACTCTAACCCTGATTTAACAGTGTATTTACAAAGACTACCTAGCATGAACAGCATGTTAGCAGGGCAGCAGCTGTTCTGGTGCTCCATCTGTGTACACAGGAGGTGTTCATGCACAGTATTGAGCTATAGGTCACTCACACTTTGGCAGCACTTAGAGTCCAACACACATCCCCTGTGGTTACACATATATAAAGCAGAAAACAGACATGAAATATTTAAAAATATGCTGCAGGTTTTGTTTATATGCATATAGGATGAGATAAATGCAAACTGTTATGCAGCCTGTTTAGACAGCTAGATCGATTAAAAACAGATTAAACTATCATATGTGCATTAGGTGGATGACTGGAAAATGCATCTGAAATGCTTTCTGTATAGAAATTCCAAGCCTAGTTGAAATACCCTAAGACCTTAAGACGTGAGGGCCGATCAACATGACCTCACATCAATAAATGTCCCCACCCTGCAGGGCTAATATTCTAATACTAACAAGAACAGAAATACAAGAGCTCACAAGCACAAGCACATAATAATTTGCTTTTGCTGCCACCTAAATCACATTTAAAATTAAATACAGCTGGGAAAAAAACTTAGCCACATATCATCTTTTTCCTCCAAAGAGAGAATATGCAAGAAATTTTGAAATCTAAAGAACACAAGCTGGCTTCTTTCCCACTCACGCACAGGCTTTTCACTCATCCACTACAGGCCCTTGGGTGCATATTTGCGTGCATTTGTAAATCTGTGTTTGTGCATTTTTGTGTCTTTTGTGTGTGTACTGTGAGGGGGTTCAAGCAAGGTCACCTAAAGAATATAGCAGCCGTGGCAGAAGAGATGAGACTGTCTGAGCATGAGATGAGCGTCTGTTGGCAAGCTGCTTTGGAGGAGACAGCAGCTCTGAGCTCCCATCAATAACAGACCCACAGACTGACAAATAAGAAAGTGACAGGGTCAGTACAAGTGAGAGGGAGGGAGGGATGAGAAAAAAGAGAGTAAAAGAGGAGTTACACTTCTCAAAGGGCAGAAGAGCTCAGCCCACCAAGTTTGCATGCCATGTCTTTACAGGAGATGAAAGCCAAGATGTGGATATTGCTCACCTCTATAGTATGTACATTATACTGTATATATGAGTACATCTCCCAGTGCATCCCTTGCTATTAATTCAGTAACATTTCCTCTTGGTTCCACAGTGGAAGAGCCATCTCACTGACATTAAGAAAAATCAATCTGTCTCGTTGAAGCGTGCTATGGAGTAGAACAGTGCTGCTGGACCTCAGCAGACATGTGGGAGTTTCTGTCACACAGGGTCGATGCTGGAATGGCACGAGGCCTGCTGTGTGTCATCCCAGTTAGGAAGGATGGATGGAGGGATCAATGAGGAGGAAGAGAAGATAGATAGATAGATAGATCTAGAGAGGGCAGACAAACAGTGTCCAACTCATTACAGGATGACCTCTTGACCAGTCGCCTGGCAACGAGGAAGTAACTAGAACTCGGGACGTGGGAGGGGGGTCAGTTGAAAATGTCACGGAAGAGGAATAAACTATAAAGAACTGGTTTGGCACTGATTCAACACTGGTGACACAGATTCAGATGGAGATTCAAACTCAGGGTGGACAAATATTGAAAACACATCACTATATGTGAATATGCTGTAAAGTAGCTTTCAGAATTAAGAATAGCTTCAGTTCTCCATTGGACAACCGATGAGTTCTCAACTGTAAAAATCCATCATTTTAATTAAATAACTTACGATTTTAAAGCTGCTATAATCTATATTCTTATTTTAACAGTGGATCAAGTGATAACATAATGTGAAACGCATCTTTTTAAGTGATATATCCACAGAAAACTAGCACCCAACTCTACAGCATGACTGATCATTTAACTCAGTGCTTTGGTTTTATGGCACAAACTTAACTGTTTTGGTTCAGACTTACTGCTCTGATCAACCTTTCCAGAGAAATCAGGGAGCAGATTTCAGTGAACATGCTCTGACAAAACTCAGCTGCCAAATAAGTTAGACTGTTTTTGTAGCTTTAGAGCCAGATATTTCTTTCAAGAGTTGGTGGAGACCAAAGCAGAGTTAACAGGTAGCGTCAGTACTAGACTTCAGTTAGGTGGGCACAAGCACAATTCCAAACTAATGATACATTTATCATCTCCAGCCAGTGTTGTAGTCACTCGATCCTTGAGGCCCAGTCAAGTCTCAAGTCCCCAGTGTTCGAGTCTGAGTCAAGTCCAAGCCACCAAAGAATAGTCCGAGTTGAGTTTAGTCCCCATTACCTGAGTCCGAGTTATGAAGATCAAGGTCATTAAACACAACTGGCACAGCTCTCACCATTTTAAAAGGAGTTAACTTACCATGCGTGACACAATACCCAAACAAATGTTTTTGTAAGTACACACACACACACACACACACACACACACACACTACTTAGAAGTGAACAGTGTGAAATTTATTTATTTTTTATTTTAAATTGATGAAGTGTGCACTTCAATAGTGTATTTACAAAGACTACCTAGCATGAACAGCATGTTAGCAGGGCAGCAGCTGTTCTGGTGCTCCATCTGTGTACACAGGAGGTGTTCATGCACAGTATTGAGCTATAGGTCACTCACACTTTGGCAGCACTTAGAGTCCAACACACATCCCCTGTGGTTACACATATATAAAGCAGAAAACAGACATGAAATATTTAAAAATATGCTGCAGGTTTTGTTTATATGCATATAGGATGAGATAAATGCAAACTGTTATGCAGCCTGTTTAGACAGCTAGATCGATTAAAAACAGATTAAACTATCATATGTGCATTAGGTGGATGACTGGAAAATGCATCTGAAATGCTTTCTGTATAGAAATTCCAAGCCTAGTTGAAATACCCTAAGACCTTAAGACGTGAGGGCCGATCAACATGACCTCACATCAATAAATGTCCCCACCCTGCAGGGCTAATATTCTAATACTAACAAGAACAGAAATACAAGAGCTCACAAGCACAAGCACATAATAATTTGCTTTTGCTGCCACCTAAATCACATTTAAAATTAAATACAGCTGGGAAAAAAACTTAGCCACATATCATCTTTTTCCTCCAAAGAGAGAATATGCAAGAAATTTTGAAATCTAAAGAACACAAGCTGGCTTCTTTCCCACTCACGCACAGGCTTTTCACTCATCCACTACAGGCCCTTGGGTGCATATTTGCGTGCATTTGTAAATCTGTGTTTGTGCATTTTTGTGTCTTTTGTGTGTGTACTGTGAGGGGGTTCAAGCAAGGTCACCTAAAGAATATAGCAGCCGTGGCAGAAGAGATGAGACTGTCTGAGCATGAGATGAGCGTCTGTTGGCAAGCTGCTTTGGAGGAGACAGCAGCTCTGAGCTCCCATCAATAACAGACCCACAGACTGACAAATAAGAAAGTGACAGGGTCAGTACAAGTGAGAGGGAGGGAGGGATGAGAAAAAAGAGAGTAAAAGAGGAGTTACACTTCTCAAAGGGCAGAAGAGCTCAGCCCACCAAGTTTGCATGCCATGTCTTTACAGGAGATGAAAGCCAAGATGTGGATATTGCTCACCTCTATAGTATGTACATTATACTGTATATATGAGTACATCTCCCAGTGCATCCCTTGCTATTAATTCAGTAACATTTCCTCTTGGTTCCACAGTGGAAGAGCCATCTCACTGACATTAAGAAAAATCAATCTGTCTCGTTGAAGCGTGCTATGGAGTAGAACAGTGCTGCTGGACCTCAGCAGACATGTGGGAGTTTCTGTCACACAGGGTCGATGCTGGAATGGCACGAGGCCTGCTGTGTGTCATCCCAGTTAGGAAGGATGGATGGAGGGATCAATGAGGAGGAAGAGAAGATAGATAGATAGATAGATCTAGAGAGGGCAGACAAACAGTGTCCAACTCATTACAGGATGACCTCTTGACCAGTCGCCTGGCAACGAGGAAGTAACTAGAACTCGGGACGTGGGAGGGGGGTCAGTTGAAAATGTCACGGAAGAGGAATAAACTATAAAGAACTGGTTTGGCACTGATTCAACACTGGTGACACAGATTCAGATGGAGATTCAAACTCAGGGTGGACAAATATTGAAAACACATCACTATATGTGAATATGCTGTAAAGTAGCTTTCAGAATTAAGAATAGCTTCAGTTCTCCATTGGACAACCGATGAGTTCTCAACTGTAAAAATCCATCATTTTAATTAAATAACTTACGATTTTAAAGCTGCTATAATCTATATTCTTATTTTAACAGTGGATCAAGTGATAACATAATGTGAAACGCATCTTTTTAAGTGATATATCCACAGAAAACTAGCACCCAACTCTACAGCATGACTGATCATTTAACTCAGTGCTTTGGTTTTATGGCACAAACTTAACTGTTTTGGTTCAGACTTACTGCTCTGATCAACCTTTCCAGAGAAATCAGGGAGCAGATTTCAGTGAACATGCTCTGACAAAACTCAGCTGCCAAATAAGTTAGACTGTTTTTGTAGCTTTAGAGCCAGATATTTCTTTCAAGAGTTGGTGGAGACCAAAGCAGAGTTAACAGGTAGCGTCAGTACTAGACTTCAGTTAGGTGGGCACAAGCACAATTCCAAACTAATGATACATTTATCATCTCCAGCCAGTGTTGTAGTCACTCGATCCTTGAGGCCCAGTCAAGTCTCAAGTCCCCAGTGTTCGAGTCTGAGTCAAGTCCAAGCCACCAAAGAATAGTCCGAGTTGAGTTTAGTCCCCATTACCTGAGTCCGAGTTATGAAGATCAAGGTCATTAAACACAACTGGCACAGCTCTCACCATTTTAAAAGGAGTTAACTTACCATGCGTGACACAATACCCAAACAAATGTTTTTGTAAGTACACACACACACACACACACACACACACACACACACTACTAAAAAATGATTGCAGTTGAATCTCGAGTCTGAGTCCAAGTCACCAGTGCCCAGCCCAAGTCGAGTCAAGACACAAGTCAGAGTTGAGTACTACAACACTGCCTGCAGTTAATAAATGAACCCAACATAATGAGATATTCTTCACAATACCTGACAGTCTGGTGGATGAAGTGGTCAGGGTCCTGAGCAGCAAACACTGTAAGAGTGGTGCCTGCTGGCACACCCTCTTCAAATCGGATCATTTTTGGATTTATAGGGAAGACGGGTGGCTCATTGACATCCTGAACAGAGATGGTTACTCCCGCTGTGGACTGAAGCGAGGACTGAATGCCGCTGGCCAGGTGGGCCTGGTTTGACACCACCACGGTCAGCATGAAAGCACGGTTCATCTCAAAATCCACTGGCTAGAGAGGAACAGGGGGTGGGGGAGAGCAGAGAGTGTGATAGAGAAAACAAAATGATGAGCAATGGGAGGAAAATTAGTGCAGCTGATTGCAAAATTAGTTCCAACTGTGTTCCAATTTGAAAAATGACATAATTCAGTGAAAACAAAGTGAGAGCAAAGTACTGAGTACTCATCAACATCTGGCACTTCAGAGCAGGTGGAAATGTTGAGTAATAATGGAAAGCAACCGTACATTGTCATTTTGATAGAGCTTTTTATCAGATATCAGGACATGTATAGAGAGGCCAAAATCTTTATTTCTACCTTGACCACTGTCAGCATCCCCTCATTGGTGATGGGGTTGGTGCGGATGGTGAAGTGTCCAGAGGGGTCTCCGCTGACGATGCGGTACACAGCGTTCCAGTTGGGGGTGTGGGGCTGATCTCTGTCCACCACTGTCAGGTTCGTCACCACCACGTTCACCTTGTTCTCTGGCACCTCCCCAGAAAACTACAGAGTGGGAGGGAGGGTAGGAAGCAAAGGAGAGAGGAGCGAGGAGAGGCGACAGCAGGGAGGATGGCAGAGATCACATTATGCTGATATTGTTCCAGCAGTTGGCTAATGAATGTTAATAAGTTGATTTATTGAGATTTTAAACATTTGCTTGTGCCATCATCAATCTTTCAGCATTTTCCATAATTGTTATTATGAAAACAAACTGCATTTAGGGTCATACCAATAATGCTCATTACATTAAAATATGAAATGCAAGTGGTAGCAAAACAAATGGAGGAGAAATTAGAAAACAAAAGGAGCAGAAAAAGACATATTGGTTTAACTGTTGATAACAGATAATCCTGTCTTCCATTATGTTAATAAAGTCTCTTACTCTGCACCATGTCTGCTCATATGAAACTCTTTATTTGAACTAATGGATTTGTTCAATTAAGTGTTTACTCGTTTAATTTAGATTCTGTGCATTCACCAAATCTAGGTCTTAATAAGCAATTAGATAAGCACGGTAATTAAGGCAGCGGTAGGAATAATCTTTGGCTAATGATCTTCATTATATTGCAATCTGAAACAACTTCCCCTCTGAACTAACTCTGGAGGAAACTTGGTGACAGCTGCAAAGCCTGAAGAAGAATTTACAGCGCAATAGGATACATGTCCCTCTCTATAGGGATTTATCTGGCTACAGAGGGATGGGCACTCAAAGGTAGACACACACATACTGACACTAAAAGCTCTCATTGTCAGACGATAATCCATGTTTCCTCTTGTGAAGCATTAACTTGTTTATGGTGTGCCTGCCAGCTGCTGTTCACTTTAATGGCTTCATCATCATGGGATTGAAGTAACGTCCAAACCACCCAATTTCTGCCTTTCTTCTTTTTTCACACCCTCCCTCCTTACCCCCTGTTTCCCTGTCTCCTGCAGTACATCCAGGCTGATAAGCCCAGAACAAATTAAATATGCACTCTCAGTCAGGGGTGTGTGGGCTCCTCAATTTCATTTTCACCCGAAGCCTTAACACAAACACCACCACAAACCCTTCCGGCTTGTTTGGCCACACTGTCAGAATATGCTCTCTCAGAGGCAAACACAATGGTGCTGGCTATAGAGGAGGGCACTTGGCCTCACTCTCTAAAATGCAATGTGGACCAACTGATAAGCCAGCAGACAAGCAAGCTCCGAGTTTCCAAAAGATTATACAAATAAGGGGGGAAGGTAGGAGGGTAAGATTCAGTTGTAGGTAACTATCAGACTGGACCTCAGTCTACAGTCAGTGAATGTAAACTTCAAATGAGTCAAAAATAAAAGGGATCATAAACTATATTTTGGAGTGTCTGGGATTGGCTTCAGCCCTCCCCCCATGACCCTCTTCAGGGTAACAGGTATAGATAATGGAAGGATCGATAAACTGCTATTCGAAGTATTGTCAGGATTACACATTCTGGCTTTAGGGCTTAATAAGTGCACTTTATGTGCTTTGCCTATTTAAATATTCACCCATGAAATTTTACTAAAGGCAGATTTTAGAAACAGTGTGGGTCTGTTCAGGCAGCATCAGACAAAGAAACATTTTCCAAATGCCAACACAGAATCAATACAAAACCACATAAATAAGTTTTATATCAAAAATGATCAGTTACTTAATTAGTTCTTAAACAAAGCTTTTGTGTTGACAAGCTTTGACAACTAAAAGCACAACTGTAAAAGCAGATGCTGTGGCCACAAGTAGCAGATAAGGGATAACGGCGAAAGTGAAATCATATGATAGTGAAAACTGCAAATCCGTTTACTGATTTGAATGGTTGTTTTTGTTTCAGTTTAAAGATTTCCTCAACATCAGTGCAAGTCAGGATTCCTGCCCTGCACTGAACAGCAGGGAAATCTACTACCTTCTTACTGAAAACTGGCTCAGCAAATGAAAATGATTCACTTTAGATGACAGAGCTATGGCTCAACAAGACTAAATGAGCTACTCCTTTCCTTGTTGAAAACAACCCCAAATGGTACTGACAACATTAGGTAGAATGAATGTCCCAAAACAGCCTCCTGCTGACATCAGTCCACTTAAGAAGACTGTTATATCTTCACTAAGGTGTAATAAAAATATAGCTACTGGCAACAGGTGTCTACCCTCATTTGTATTTTTCATGTTATACAGACATATCAAGGTGCTTTATCTTTTTTGTTTAAACAAATTAAACCTGTGAAGTTGCCAAAGTAGCAAATACCGATCATCTCTGGCACTCCAGCTCCTTTGGGTATTAAGAAGCTGCAGCGTTACAGGTGGGTCACATCCCACCTTGTTCTGTTTTGCAAGCCTGCGTGTCTCGAGCTTTCAACCCCACAAGCCTTCCAAGCTGCTCTCCTGCGTCTCATCATTCTTTGGTGAATGATAGACCTCTGGATATACTTCAGCAAGGGTGTGATCCACTTCATTAGATCATTTGATTTGATAGATTGTGGCAAGTATCTCTGTCCTTTTGTGTATCACATAATAATGAAAAAGCAACATAGTGCATTCAGCCCCATGTGGTGAAATGAATAAAACATCTGTTTCTTTTTTCCCCATTTTTTTACAATTTAGACACAATATATCTGCTTGGTTTACGCCCCCGCAAGCAGTTTCACTTAATTAGCGTGCTTATGTTTTATGCCTCCCGTAGAGAGCAAAGAATTCTTCTTGCATCTGTCATACACAAATAATTACTGAACCACTCCAAGTGTAGTTGCTTGTGTGGGAAGCAGAACAAAAAGTAGAGATTGACAAAGCAGTGAAAACAGCATCTGGCAGTGAACAATGTCTTTGCAATTGATGGTCACGTGAGAGTGTGCGGTTGTTTGTGTCTAAGTGGAAGACATGCTACAAAAACACATTTCTATTCATTTTTACTCATTACCGCAGTTGACAACATTTGGTCAGCTGCTCCTTTACTGACAAGAGCAGGCAAATCTACACTCATTCACTCAGGTTGCAGAAAAGGTAATGAGGCCCTGAAGAGATAACAGCGAGCATACTGTACATGTACTCTCTGTGCATGTCTTGCTCTGCTGTGTTTTGCTGTGTTTGTGCCAAGGACAATGTACCAGCATTTTTGCATTTCTATGTAAGTGCTGAATATTGGTTTTGAGCTAACAGACTAACTCGGACCAGAGCTCTCCCCCCCGCCAGCGAAGAGTGGTAATGGATCCAGGACTACAGACGGGGACAGGGCAGTTCTGAGCAGAGCAGCAGCCTTGTTCAGTGAGCTCTACCCCAGACAGCTGGGGAGCTCTTATCAGTGCATGCGGCTGGAACTGTACTGGCAAGCACGCTGACGGTGGCCCCACAAAGGAGACAGGGATCACAGTGTGTGACGCTGACACACGGCTCACTCTGCCTCGGAGCTCAGCTGCAGACAGCATCTGTCTCTCTCTCTGGATTCTCAGAAATACATGCGCCCACATAAAGAGGAGCAAAAAATCCTGGAGGTCTGTCAGACTGCGGTCAGCGTTTGATTCTGTTCTATGACCAGACTGAGAATAGAGAGTCCAAGCTATATATGGAGAAAGATTAAGAAATGTACAGACATGCATGCATGCATACATGCACACCATCTATACTCAGCATAAAAGATATTTTGCTTTCAGTTGCTGTTTCTTCATTAGTAATCCTCACCCTCAAAAACAAACAACTGCCTCTCCAACCATACACGCACTGCTGTCAGACGAGTGTGGAGCTATCAGGGACCAGGGCCAGATGCCTGCAGACAAACCCTGGCCATCTGAGGCCCTGCTGGGAGGGAAAATACAGACAGCGAGGGAGAGACGTAGGAGCACCCCTCCCTCAAGCTCACTTTCAGTCACATTATACACATATATATATATGTTACACTATATGTGTCTGTATATTCATTTGTTTGGATTATAAATCTCACAAGATTCATGAATTAATAAAATCTTCCCTCAATTCAGCAAAAAGGAAAAGTTACTAACTTCTTGTTTCCTCCTTCTGGTAATTTTCCTACAGTTCCTTACACAGAATAATAACATATCTATGGAAAAGTCTGGGACTCACCGTCCTCACTGTCAGTTCTGGGGGATTGTCATTGATGTCAGTAATGGAGATAAGAGCTGTGGCTGTGTTGGACAGGCCAAAGTTCAAGTTTCCTTCCATGTCGGTGGCCTGGACAATGATGGTGTACTGAGACACTTTCTGTAAAAAGAGAAACATAGTTGGGGGAACATCAAATACTGTGACAAACCTGGACACGGGTGTCAAATGACCAGATAAATATTTTTCCCCTTTGACAATGACACGATGAGTCATATGAATGAATACATGCAGAATGAGCTATTCATCAACTTGCATGTATGTTGCACATATCTTTCCTTTTTGTCACAGCTAGCCGCTCAGTGAAACAACAGAAGACCTGGAGTCTGTATTTCCTCAATAACAAATAATAAACAGCACAAACACACACAACAAGAGTCACAGAGTTGAAGAGAGCGAGCGATATGTGGGTAAAAGGTCGATCCATTATTGCCTAAAGGTCTTGGCTTTCCACTGTGGGAACAGACCTGGATCATCAGTCATTTTAATGGAGGTGCTGCCACTTTAAGATGCACCACAGTGCTGCAGATAATGCCAGAGGTGAATGGACCTTATTTAGTCCACTTACAGTGAGGGGGAGTCGCCCCAGAGTGTACTGCAGCAAGCACTGTAATTTTACAGTGCCAGTACATGAAACACTATCAAACATTAGGCTTTGTTTAGACACAACTGAATGAAAATAAATTAAAAACAAAGGAGCAGAGAGAGACAACACATATCCCCATTCCAGCAACGTGACTCTGTCCGTGGTGCTGAAAGTTCATTCCATCCCCAGACTCACCACTGGGAAGGGGTGTAAGTGTGTGTGTGTGATGTTTCCATCCTGACAGTATAAGCCTCTCTGCTTTGTGGTCTCTTTCTCTTCCTAATAGTCCATCTGGCTCTGGCCTCCATTATATCAGAGAAAAGAGAGGGACAGAAAGAGACAATGGATGGCCAGTGTTTGCCACACAGGGGCGTCTGTTTTGTTCAGCATCCACAATGCATTTTATCAATGGTCTAATGTTTGTTTGTTTGTTACTTGGCTAGTTTTGTCATATTCACCCTCAGGACTTGACAGCCTGTGGCACTGATGTCAGGGACTGCCTGGCATAATGAGAGCCAACTCAGCCAGCGGCCTTGTACTGTATTGCTTCCTGCTCAGGTGGCTGTTTCTTTTTCTTTTGATCTCTTCTCATCTTTCATCATGTCATGGTTTGGTCAGTTTTTTCTACCCATCTCTGTGTATCTTTGCACCTCCTTTCTGTCTCCCACCTTTTTCCTTCATGAAGGATGCAGTTGAGTGCTAGAACAGACAAACCACTGAGGCCAGTTAAAACATCCAACTGAAGTCATTTAGCATCCCTCCTCATTATGAAGTGCATAGACATGTTAATCTGCACCAACCAGACCTTATTAATGAAAGCCCAATACTGACTGCCCTTTAATAGACTCATAATTTAATATAAATACCATTTCCCCTCACAGAGCTCTATAGTAAATAGAGGCTCCAATGAATGTGTCTCTCTGCAGATTCATCCAGTTCCAGTCACATACATCTGTCTGGAAGTAGCACTCGATGGCTGCAGGAAGCTAATAGGCTCGAGCTTTGATGGACGCCTTTTCTTTGGTCGGTGAAGCGAAATGACTGGAGCAAAGCCAGCAGGTGGAGCTCTCAGCAGGGGTGTAGCTGATGGATCCTATCCTGCATGGTTATATCACTCATCTGAGGATATTTGTGAGTTTATGGCCCTTCTAGTGTACACATGCACATCTGCTAACGCACCGGTGAGTGGGAACAAGTGGGAAACTCACTCTTACACACACTGGACATACACATGCATGTGCACACCAAACACACACGCAGCTAAGCGCACTCTGCTGTCCAGAAGCGGCTGCCCAAACAAGTCAGTAAAGGGCTCTCTAATGAGTCCTATAGATGTGTCAAACAGAAAATCTCTCTGTTAGATTAGAGTCCGGCGCTGGGAGAAAATTCAGCTTCTTATTAGAAACAGCAAAAGCCCAGACTCCTCCTCAGGCCCTGAACCTCACGGACTTAATCTGCACAAGCTGAAAACCACAGAAACACCTGAACACAGAGCTCCACCAACAATAAAACCCAATCTTTTTTTTCATGGGGTTCAAATTAGGTTGTTTATCCAAGTGACTGAAGGAAGAAATAGGAAAACTGCTTTAGAGCATCAGTGGTAGCTTCTTGACAAGTCAAACTGAGCAGCGGACAGGACAGGTGGAAGAAAAAAACTGGCTGTATACTGTATGGTTTGTAAGTAAACAGACTTGTATTCCAGTGAGACATTGTTAGCAGGAACAAAGCAAAAAAATAACCATCTGAACTGGGAAGGTGATGTCAACATGAAAATGGAGAGGAGTAGTTTATCCATCCATCCATCCATTATCTATACAGCTTATCCTGAAGAGGGTCGAGGGGCGCTGGAACTGATCCCGGCTGACATTGGGCGAGAGGCAGGGTACACCTTGGACAGGTCACCAGTCTATCACAGGGCTGACACTCAGACAACCATTCACTCCTATGGGCAATTTAGAGTCGCCAGTCAACCTAAGGTGCATGTCTTTGGAATGTGGGAGGAAGCCGTAGTACCCAGAGAGAACCCACGCAGGCACAAGGATGAATTAATTATACCTGAGTGAATGTCCATTTGGTGTGGACCACACAAAGAAGGCAGAGGGAGACTTGCTCCTTACTTGTGTCATTTATGGATTATGTTCCGGCCCGTTGGACTCCTGCTGGCCACAGTCGCTACCTTGTCACTTACAATCTGCCTCAAATGGACCAGTTCTTGTGGCTAAAACTGTAGCGACCAGCTCCCTCACTTCTCTTTGACTGCAGTCTCTTTCTGCCTCAGTGACCCTGAGTGTCAGTGACCCGACATTACAGTCTCGGTTCAGTTCAGCTGAGATCACTTCAATTAAATTTTGCAGATTTGATTTAATTCATTAGATTTTAGTTCAGTTAGTGAAAGGTTGCCCACCTGATGACCCTGTAGCCTTGTCTTCACTCCTACACCCACACTGAACTTGTATTAGTGATAATACAGTTACAGACTCAATGGAATTGTTAATAGTCTTCTTTTGTTAGACAATCTTGGTAGAACTGTGTCAGTGGTTGGACAACTGAGCAGACCTGGCTCTCAGAGGTGACTGCCATTACAAGCCAGCTGGACCAGCCACTACTTAACATGAGTAAATATAATACAGATGCTGTGTGTCTAGTCACATATCTGCTCTTTGGTTGGGTGAGGATAGCGTTCAGGGATGCTTTGTGTCAATGGTAGGTTAGGTCTGGAAAATGGTGTTGCTTATTGTGGGGCTCTGAAAATGTATGACGGCATGGCCTGATGAACCCTCTTTGGGGCCAAATAACATGTAAACATCATTTAACTCATATACTGAGCTTCCATATGAATGTCCTCCCTTTCTTTGGCACATTTAATTGTGTATTATTGAGAGAGTTCCATTTATTTCAGTTCAGTTCAGTTACATATCCACCTTCCCTGTGACAAACTGCACTATCTATAGTTAAAGTACTTCCAGCTGGGAGAAATACAATCTACAGAATTATTTTCTATTTTCGCATGTTTTCCCCAGTTAGTACCGAAAATAGGCGTGGTTTTGTCTCCAGCTTCATCATCCATCTCTTGTTTCTAAGGGATGCTTGCGTTGAGGACACAAACAGCTCAACACTGATTTGAAGAGAACACAAGACAATGGAGACTTTTTCCAAGCAGCACACTGTTCTCTGTACTCTCTGTGCACGTCTCTGTTCTCTTCTTTTCTCTGAATCTCACTGTGGAGACATTCACTTGGATACTGTAGATAAATAAAATATGAATCCACTTGATTAGCAACACCTCCACATTTACGCAAACAGTCACATACTGGATAAATAAAGGCTGTGAGTCACTTATGAATAAAGCTGCTAGAATAAAACTTTGCAGGTTGGGCGAGAGGTTTAATTTATGATCCGACTGAGCATGGTAATACAATGCAAGGACATGTGATGAACATGCTGTCGCCAGACTTGCTGGCTCCAGCATGTCACAAACAGAAAAGACAGTAAAGCCAAGTAAGAGGCAAATGCTCCTTGTTGTACAGCAGCATGCCAGGTGTCTCCTGTGTCATCAATGAACACAGACAGGAGAGGGAATTTGGTCACCAAAATGATTTACAATAGCCTAAGATACTTAAATCAAGGCCTTTAAACAATGAAGCAAACAAACACAAATGCAAAAAAAAAAAAAAAAAAAATCACATCTTAGAGAGGAGAAGGAAGAGTGGCCACAGATGTGAGTCTAATGCTTCCAATTTAAGGAAGTAACTAAAATTAAGTGGAAGGATATTTGGACTTCCAAATAATGCTTGCTAACAAAGTGGCAAATGTTATAATGTAGATAGCACGTATAAAAAAGCATTCATTCATGGCAGGAAAATACCAAACCCACCAGTGTAAAAAAAAAACTTGCACCCAAGAAAACTGTGCATAATGACCGTGTGCAAAGCTTTGTAGGGCTTTGTGTTGGCAGGAAAATAAAGCCCCTAGTGTTAAAATCCTCTGGTGACTTAAAAACACTTCCAGTAGGTTACAGGACAATTCTGACATCAAAAACTTTGTTCTAGATTTATAACAAATGACATCTATGAACAAGAAACAGTGCAATGCATGAATAAAGCGATGTCTTTTGCTGGATGGGAAGCTGTGTAAATAATCCAAAATATGAAACCACTACCCCACAGGGTCTCTTATGGGTCAAACGTCTGACAGGGAATTTTACAGTAAACTAATTAGATGAAGCCGTTTAAAGTTATAGTCCTTAATATTTTCATCTAAGCGGATGAAACCTTTGATACTGTTAATGACCTGGATTTATTCTACTATAACAATTAAAGCCATTTATTTATACCATATGTATCAGTTATCTCTACAATATATTGTAGTTACTACTGTCAGCAGCGACGTCCGCCAGTACCACTCTCTTCTTCTGGTGTATTTCTGATAGAGCAGCATGTACCTGGCACTTCGTAGCATGCCTGCTATAACCATAGGTTTCATAAAAACCTGTCTTAAGGATTCTACCTTTAAAGGATGGGCTGGTTTTAAAAGAATGACCAAGGTTTTCATGGGCAAAATATCAATCTCAGGAGATCTGGACAAAAGAAAAACTTACAAATATCTATAAGAATGTTAGGAATGTAAGAAGTGAAAGGAGGCAAATACCTCAGAACAGAAACAGAACAGAAATAGATCATCTGAAAAAAATCCAGGATTTTCTGAAGACAAAAGAGGGTCCAATTCAATACCACATTAGATGCACATAACAATGTGGCTATTGAGGGAATATTTTCTTGATTAAAAGTTGGCGACAACATGCAACATCCACCTACATGCATCAATACTCGTCATTCAGTAACCCATGCAGAATCTTCAGAAGGCTTTGCTGTCTGGCTCCTGGAGCTGATGTACAAGGCAGCGAGGAGACAGTAAAGCCCCAGGCACATTTATAGTAGGAAGCTTGTTCTCAGTCTGCTTCCCCAATTGTGCACTGCAGAACCTAATAGAGCCACCAGGCTGTGTACTCATATTCTTTAGGCAGTCCAGGCAATGTCCTAATTGATGGCAAGACATTCCAACGTGAAGCTGGCATCAGCCCGGTGGGCAGCCTGGCACCAGGCCATACCACAACATCCCACAACATCCCACAGCAGCACATTGTAACTCAGGGCTCATGGGACAATGAGACAGCTTGGGGTAATGGAAGACAACAGCTTTGCCTGCCAGTGGAACTGGAGCCATGAAGGTAGAGAGGCATCCATGCCAGCTGTGGCACCCTGACATCTCCCACTCTGCTACCTGCTACATCAACATTGCACTTCATTAGAAAATGCATTTCTTCTGTTGTAGACATTATACTCAAATGTTGGTCAAACAGACACACACATGATTTGGCCCAGCTTGTTAGCCTATGAGCTGGGGGATGTGGAGGCATGTGAGGTCAAATGAGCTGTGGGCGGTGAGAATAACTGGCATTCTGTGGTGTCAGAGGTAAGTGATGCCAGGCTAACCTCTATGTACCCCCTGGTCTGCTCGACATGAGAGAGCCCACTCCGGCCCTTGATTAGCACATGAATATTCTAATTAGACACAAGCAAGCTGGATGAGGATTAGCTAAAGTGTGAGAAAGAGATGACAGAGAATATACAGTACAGTAAATGCTGCACAAGTGGTTAGGGTCTGCAATGAATATGCATATTCATGTTTTTGTGTAGTGGCATATGAATACAGCACTGTGTCTGCATGGATCCAGTGTAATATCTGGGGTCAGACTGAACAAATTTGCTGCTACTCCTCACTCTGAATGAGCTTTACTGCATCTAAAACAGCAAAACTGAATGCTTGGGAGTGTGAACAGTATGTGCATGTGAGCTCATGTACTGTATCTGAGTGTGTTTGTGTTGACCTTGACAGCAGGTGCGTGAACTCCCAGGTGTGCCCCAGTTTTAGTACGAGGATCAGAGGCAGGTGGGACTAAGCCTGTCTTGATGTGTTCAGATTAATGAGCTTTCCCTCACTCCCATCAGCTGCTACTACCGCTGCCTGGGCCAAGCTAGAAACAGGGACACAGAGCTGGCCCGCGCTCACTAGACTCATTTATATGGTCCTACCAGTGTATCATTCTATCATGCCACACCAGCTCAGTAAATTGGATAAGGAAGGAGCATTGATGTACTACTTTCTTCTGTTATCAAATCCCGATTCTGTTCTGGAGATATTAACCATTATTATTCTCCAAATATGCTTGCCTTATTGTTGGTAAATCCTGTTTTATTTCTAAAGTGTTGCTTGGTCAGGTTTAGTGCAGAGAGGGACCAGCGGGACCTCTCAGAATATAAACATTATGAGACACACTCAGCGCTGCTTTTATGTTGGTAGTAAAATCAGCCAACTAAGTTATGAGGATGAGATTATCTTCATAATGAGGGCATATGAATTTGAACATTTCCCTGTTTTTGCCAGTTGTATTATCCTTCTCTTGCAGCAGAGAGAGATAAGAGGTGTGTGTGTGTGTGTGTGTGTGTGTGTGTACTTGTTTGGCTATACATTGTGAAGACCATGGGCACAAGGACATTTTGAGAAAGTGAAGACATTTAAAGGGCTGTATAAGGGTTAAGGCATGGTTTTAGGGTTCATGTTAGAGTTGGGTTAGGTGTTAGGATAAGGTTTGGGCTTTGGTATTTAGGGTTAAGTGTTAGGTTAAGGTGCTAGGGAATGTACTATATCAATGTCCTCACAGAGACACTGTACTGTAGCTGTACAAGCATGTGTGTGTGAGACATCGGCCACAGGATGAACAATCTGCCATGAAACATGACCACCCAGAGTTTCCTGATGCACCTTGGGAAAAACAAAAGCTGGCACTGCGTGACCTTCCTCATTAGCAGAACAAGATGGAAGATGGTGCAGGGACAATGTGTGTTGTGGTGTCGGAGGTGGTGTGTAGGTTGGCAAACAACCAAAGCGAGCAACAAACACATACCACTGGTGGATAAGACAAAAGAAGACAGTGAATACAAAGGTGCTGCGACCTTGTCAGCAGAGAGGTGCTGAACTTCCATGGTCATGTATCTGATCTGCTAAGCACTAACAGAAACACTAGATATCAGCTGGCCAATTATATTTACGCAACAGGAAATCAAGAGGATGTTTGTATTTTGTCCTTTGTTGTCATGATTCGGTTCCGCTGCTTCCTGTCCTGCTTTTATTTTGATGTTACTTCCTGTTTTTGTTTCACCTTAGTTTCGGTCTTTTTACGTTCTTCATCACTCACATTAGTTTCACCTGTTTCGTTATTGTTTACACCTCTATTTAGGCAGCGTCCTCCCACCAGGACGCTGCCAGATTGTTCTAGACCCCAGCTCTGACTTTCCAGCATTTTCTTCGGTTTTGGTATTTTGTGTTTCTGACCCGGACTGTTACCTTGGTATATTCCTTTCTGCTTTGCCCTCTTGTCTCGGACTGCCACAGTGTATGATATCGGACTTCCCTCTGGACTACGTATTTTGGATCACCTCTGTTGGATGTGTTTGCTGGCTCTGACCTCGGACTGTTAAAGACATGTGAGTTTTGTGTTTTTGCCGTGTCTTGTATGGTTTTCTTTTGTTCAACGTTAGTTCTCTTAATAAATAGACAGTTTTGTTTTACACATCCTCGTCTGGCCATTTAATTGAGTTCACTAAACACTTTTCGGCCGCATTACGCGCGCTGTTTCTGACACTTTGTTTAAGTTTACATTTGTTAAAAGGGTGAATGCAAATAAATGCTTAGTGACATGATGAAATTAATGGGATACTGTGGAATTTGCAGGCTGAAATATTTATTTGGTTATTTCATCACTTGTTTATCACTTAAATATTAAAAACAGTATACTATGCAGAGGAAATGTGTACTGTGTATTGCAAGCTGATGGTAAATAGATATTGAAAAGAAATACTCTTACAGTATTTAATGACCAGTGAAATATAATTTAACCTTTAATATTAAAAGCAATAGAATTTTCAGCTTAGTACTAAATTTAGGGAATTTAAGGATTTATTTAGGGGTTAGTGATGGTCAAAATGAACAGATCTGATAAAGATATTAAACCCAACATTAGGTAGTGACTTGGGAAAAAAATAAGTTACTGAATTTCAACTAACTCACATTTGACTTATTTGACATTTCTCTGAGCATGAAGACACAAGCTGCTGTGAAGTACCCCCCGGCGCTGTGCGTGGGTGGGTGGATGTGCTGTGAGGTACTGTCCCGGCAGAGAGGCCATGTGAAACAAGTTCAAGTTCATTCTTGAGTGGGTAGGACATGAGGGGGCAGGTCAGTAGGTAGCTACCAGGATAAATCAAGTCAAAATAATACAGTCAGTGAGCATCCCATAGCCGACCGGTTATGCTGCGGAGCATCATATATCTTGCTGGGGTTTGCAACATTGCTGGTTTGACTCCAGCCACTGACAGCTCTGTCGCTGGTCTCTGTCTCTCCCTCTGTTTCTTCTCTGTGACTTAGTAATTAATAAAGGCATATACTGTAAGCCTGAAAATAAATCTTAAAAAAATACAGTCAGTATGGGTGCCCTGGTGGCCCAAGACCTAAGGATTTTTGCAGAAAGTTAGATGAGAAGATGGATATCACACTCATACAGTATATGTACACTAAATTTAAAGCTGGAGTAAGGTTAAAGTTAGCTTAGCTTAGCACAAAAACTGGTAACTGAGGGAAACGGCTAGCTTGGCTCTACCCAAGATTTAAAAATTCCACCTATCAGCACCATTGCTGCATGTCAGCGCAAAAGCAATAACTCAAAAAACTGTCTTTGCTCTGGCTAGCTCTGGACTAATCTAATCAATGTATACTGTATATCAACTGAAGTGTTTTGGCTTCTGATGGCTGATCATATGGCTGGGTGCACACAAATGAGATGCAGAATGATTGAATAATGCCAGTAACAGGGACACAATACATACAGCTGACACTGACCTCTCTGTCCAGGCCAGCTGCCACTGTGACTATGTCTCCAGTCTCGCTGTTGATGGTGAACATGTTGGGGATGGGGCTGTGGGGCGTCTGGGAGAGGATGCGGTAGCGCACCATGCCGTTTGCTGTGGTGGAGTCATCTGAGTCGGTGGCTGTCACCTGCATCACAGATGAGCCTGCGGAGAGAAAGGTAGTTAGCTCAGAGCAGTGTAGAATAATGTGGAAAGTATATGACGGACATCAGCACACATGACATTAGAGGAGGTCAAAAAAACATCGAAAAACAAGCAGGCAACATTCATTAAAATACAAAGATGTGGCTTTCATGTTTCTCTACACACATACATTTTGAAAATTCATGGCACATTAAAGTTTCTTGTAAGCCCATTACTGTTAATTAATTTGTAGAGAAGAAAGAGCACTCAGAGAAAACTCAACAAGCCCATTTATTAACAAGAAACAAGCCAATCAGACGCTGCAAATTGTTGTGACATTCTCTGTTCTTTGAAAAATAACTTTTAGAGGCAGAGATATCACAGAGCAGAGCACAAAACACAAACAAAATCGGTTAAATAAGCTTCTATTTTAAGCGGTGCTGTTTTGTTCTCTGTATACAGACAAGCTAGTGGGGCAAAGTTTCCACCTCTGCAGAGTCCATTTAGTAATGAGCAGCGCTGGGTCTTCTGCCATTTCCACTATCCATTATTTCAGCCTTCAGCGGCACCATGGCTGCCCTTAATGCTCCGATGCTCTCTCCCTATTTGTCTTAGAATCACGGATAAACACTGCCATTTAAGGCAGCCAGCACAGAGGTGGTGAGGCAGAGGGAGGGTGTGTGAGTGTGCGAGTAAAAGGTGAATGTATTTCTGCATTTACTTACAGATATGTGTGCCAATCTGTATGCATGTGCGTGTATGTGTCCTCTCAGCATGTATCAGGGTGAGAGGCTCTGTGTCCCCGCATCTTCTCCGAGCAGAATTATTGATTTGCTCGAGTTTGTCAGCTGGGCTCACAAATGCAACCAGGCAATTAGGAGCACTTTGTGCTGGAAAGAGGAAAGATCACCTCGCCTCTCTCACAGGGTTCTGTGAAAATGTCACTTTCCATGCTGCCGCTGCTGCTGAGGGAAACAGACTGTCAACTCAGAGCAGGGAGAGCAGAGAGAGGAGATGGCTGAAGCATGAACATGCTTGAATGAGAATATATGAAAAAGGTCATTATTATGCCTACATGTTAGATTCTGTATGTCAATTTATTAGAATAAACTAACTATTGTTTTATAACACTTCTGATGGATTTAACATGTTATGCCACTGTTTTCATGATACTGGAAACCAAAAAGTGTCTTGGCAAACTGATGCATGAATAAGCACTTTGGTTACTTCAGTGGACATAGTAGTGAGCAGCGGGTGCCATGCTAAGAAGGCACAGAACCAGCACTGTTCAATTATCACATCAAAAGCAAACAAAACTGGTCGGCAAAAAACGTCTTGTATGTTTGAAATAAATGTAAATGTCTCAGCTGAAGCAGTAGAGCTGCTGTATGTGTGGCAGATTTGGCAGGCCCTGTGGGTCTGAGCAGTTGCAGGTGTCTCCATTCCCATAATTGGGTCTAGATGGCACCATCACTCCTGTGACAGCCTTCACGGACAGGATAATTGTCGCTTTGAATTTCTATTTCAAACTTCATTAAGTTTCAAAGGAGGATTTGTCACTTTATCCAGCAAGAAAAAGAAGGTATCTAAGTAAAGACAGGAAGAAGGAAAAACAATTACTGCTGTTCAGCTGAGGACAGCGTCAATATATAATCAACCTTTGCAGTCCCCTAGAGAAGGAGAGGATGTGATGTATCACGTGTTGGTGCTGCTACATCTCATTTTAAATGAGAGGAATTCAGTGATGTAATGATGGTGTGTCATGGCTATGCCTGAAAGGGTTAATCTCTGAGCTTCTTTAATTCCTCTTTAATTTGAGCACTAATTCCAAATCCTAATTGCTTTTCCACTAAAATTGCTGGAGCTGAAAATTTAACTGGTGGCAGGCATATGCATTGTTGGCCATTTTGCTCATGTGACTGGATATCAGTGGTGAGGTCTATCTGCTGCCTAAACATCAGTCAGACAGAGACATCATCTGCCTCCCATGTGCAGGGAAGAGGGAGAAAAAAGAGCAAGATGGGTATAGATAAATAAATAGATAAGGCAGGAACAGGGAGATAGGCACACACAGATGCAAAGATAGGAGGCAGAGGAGGAAATTGCAAAGTAGAAAATAAAGTGAAGATGAAAATAAAGGTGAGAGGTTTTATAAAGACCACTAAAAGCAAATGTACAAGTGGAAGTCAGGGAAAGGGAGGGCAGGGGCTGGACAGCATAAGAGGATAACTCTCATCAGGGGAGAGAAGATAGAGGTTGCCTTGCAAAAGACAAAAGTGGTCATGGTACAGTAGATAGAGAGTAGAGGGGAGAAATGGCTGAAAGGTAAGAGAAAAGGTTGAAACCCGGTGTTTCTCTCAGTGGAAATGATAAAGGGACCACCATGTTCACACAAGAGCCTCTAATGGAGTCCACTGCTCTCAAACCCCAGGACACAAGGACACAGTCAGACCATTCAGAACTAACCAACAGATGTCAAAAGATTTGGCAACATTCATAGCTCAATGCAAAGGCTAGATCAAATGTGCAGAGAGATTTCTGGAAGCTTGATCTTTATCACTGCATGGCAGCCGTGCCTGTGGACCGACAGGGGCCGAAGCCTGTGAGTAACAGAGTGGGAGGAGAGTTTCAGCTGCAGTAAAAACCCTGATCACTTTGACATTCTACTTATTTTATGCATTAAGATCAGTTTACTTGTCATACTTAAAAGTAGATAACTTGTGGAAAAATTTACATAATGTCTTATGTCAATATGACATTAAAAGGGTTATCTGGGCTGGACTTGGAAACCTTAAACCCTACAGTATATCAGCAATCAGAGGGACTTAGTTCAAACAGTGGTTGTTCAATTACACTGTAGTGAAGTTCTAATGAAGGGCCCTATTGAGTTGATAATACAGTGTAGTGAGACATGATGCCAGGGACCAAAAGGCAAGATATCTCAGCTAAATTTGACTGTTATTCATTAAATATATATCTTGCAACTGTACAAACTTTATGGAAATAGAATACAAAATCATCTGAAAAACTTTATTAGAATGCCAAGAGAAGAAAACTGTGAAACTGCAGAGAAGAAAAGTATTCTTCTGGTCTCTAACTGGCTTCTCATCAGCAAAACTGGCTAAAGCCAGAACTACAATAGCCCAAAGATATGCATGTTTCTGTGGGGGTCTTATCTGGTGACCAGTGGGGGTGGGGTGATTTGGTAAGTTTGGGAATTTAGGCCTGTTTGTTTTATAATTCATGTGTGGAAAGTCTCTATGAGACAGTGTTGATGAGACAGATGCTGCTGAGCTGAGGAGGTGCACTGCAGCCTGACCTGACACCACACACTTTATTTACACATAACCTCTCTCTCTCTCTCAAGAAAAAGTGGTATCAGATTTTACTGTGTTTATGTATAATTCATATGTGGTTTGTTTTATGATTAGAACTGATATAACAAAATTGACTATGATTATTGATTATTTGGAACCCCCTAAACTGGAATTATTATTGCTTCTGGGAGGAGCTCAAGGTTCTTTTGGGGGGCTAAATCCCCTTCCCCCACTCATAATTTGAACAATGATGTACACAGAGAAGAGGCCTGCATATCATAATCGACCGAAGATGACCCCCCCAAAATCTCAACAATGTATCGTCCGGCCTCAAGCATCAAGTTGACTGGTTGATCCAACCAGAAGGCTGGTTCAGTATGGAAAAGAAAAGCTTCATAATATATTATACTCAAAACCAAAAGAAAGAGCAATAGACATGGGTGGATCTACAGGGGGGAAAGAGGGGGCCCTGAAGCCCTCCATATCTGTAGGACTTCCATAGCCACAGTGGCCACTGTGCCCTGACGGCGCTCTCACCTCATGTCAGCATGAGTATAGTCATTCCTGGACCATGGCCTTGCAGCCACAGTAGTGTCATGATGTCTTTCACCACAACTCTTAGGCCAATCAGAATTCACACCATAACCCCGTTTGTTTCAACTGCGCTAGTGCAAAAGATGTCATGGCTTGTTGTCAAACCTCAGTGCACTTCAGTGTACAGTGTACAGATTAGCATGGTGCAAACTTTGACCGTCCCAGAAACAGTAAGAAGAAGGTAAAAAAGTGTGAGGAGCTTGTCAAGAACATTTACACATTCATTATAACTTCAATCAAAAATTATATTATAAAGCAGCTCATAGCATTTCCACTTCCCAGCGCTGGTAGAGCGTGACAATACAGTACACAGATGGTGCAGCAGTCTAACAGATTTTACCTGCTGTTAATAATATTTGTAACATGATCGATCAGGACAAGTGCAGGGCGTTTTTTATTTATTTATTATGACTAATGAACTGCTGTCATGTGTTATTTTGTGCGCCTATGTGTAATTATTGTAGATTTGGTTTCAGATCAGTGATTCTCAATGACCTCTCCAGCTCAGGAGCTTCTCCTATCTATACCATCCAATTGCAATTTTCTATGAATAATAAAACTAATACCCTAAATTGCTAAATTACTTAGTAAGTGGTGATTTGTGGTTCAGACAGGTACTTGTAGATTTTACAGTAAAGCAACACCGATTATATTGTAGGTGTTTATGTAGATTTATTTTGGAATCCTGGATCTTGTAAGTTCTTTTAAGTTTTAACTGGTTTTCACAATGCTGGTATTTTCTGAAATGTGAGGATTCGTTTTTTGTTTTTAAACCCACTTTAATTAAAGTCTGCTAAGTACTTCTTGAATTTAAAATTGCACAGATGTTTTTATTTATGTTCAAAGAAAACAGATTAATATTTTTATCAACAAACCTATTTATAGTACAGTGGGAGAATAAACGGTTTAGTGCATGTTTAAAAGATTTTCCCATGTTCGAGGTTTGGATGCACACTTTGCCATTTTATGAACTTGTATATTAAACATCCAGGCGTAGGTGCGATGTCGCAGTGTTAAATTCTGTTTATATTGGTTTTTCTTTGTTTGAATCCATAACATTTAGGGAGTTGATCATAAGAACTGTAGCCTCACACATTTTTGTTTGATTAA